GCCAGAGCAAATTTTAATGCAGTGTGCTAGATGCAGTACAAGAATTACAAAAGAAATAGAAAAAAAACTTCATTGGTTTTGCAGCATTTTTCTTTGCCTGGATGGTGGTGTTTAAAAGAAAACATAAAAAATACCACTTCCAGGCAGCTGTACAGAAGTGATTCTGTCTGAATAAAGCAGAAAGAGGCCTAATACACTTTAAAGAAACAGAAAAAAAGCAACAACAAAAGAACAGTGTTCATGCCAAGTCCAATGCTTCTAACAATACAGCTGTATTTTTGGGAGTGGAAGTTCCCATCCTAATGCAAAACAAAATCCAAAGCCACCCCTGACTTCTTATGCCTGCAAAACACAATTCCTCTAAATTGCAGAGCTTGTCTGTGACAGGTACAGTAACAAGGAAATACACCTAATACAAAATAAAATAAATAAATAAAATATACCTAATATAAAATAAGTTGCATCAACTGCATAAAGAACAGAACCAAGCCTGTAACAGTTTGTAAGGGCAGTGGGGGAAAGCAGTGGTCTGCCCATTCCACAGGACCTTACTTTTTTCCTGCTCTGATGTCAAAGCATTCACAGAGTTCAGCTCTGAATGTAAAGTATCTCACTTTCTGCAACTCCCTGAAAGGACCTTGTGGCCAGGTGGGAGTTGGCCTCATCTCCCAGGTAAAGTCACAGGAGGAGAGGAAATGGCCTCAAGTTACACCAGGGGAGGTTTAGATTGGATATAAATTCCTTCACTGAAATGGTGGTCACACATAGGAACAGGCAAGTGGTGGAATCACCATCCCTGGAAGTGTTCAAAAGGTGTGAGGCTGTGGGGCTAGGGGACATGGTGCTGAACATGGCAGTGCTGCATTAGTGGCTTGTCTCAATGATCTTAGAGGTATTTTCCAACATAAACGTTTTTCTGTGATTTGATATTGAAGTGGAATAATTCTATCTTCAGGTTATCACGGGTGCTCAGCCTCACAAGCAGCAGCACATACATAACACCAGGGGACTGCTTTGGGGAGAAACTTCAACACTGGTGAAACCACTGTTTGCTGTTCAGTGTTCACTAGAGCACTGTGAAATCACACCACTTAGTAGAAAAACCTGTGTGCATTTTTTGTTGCCTGTCATGCTGCAGCACAGCCAAATATTTGTCAAACAGATTTTCAGCTTCATCAGAGCTTATTTTCCCCAAATTCTGTCATGCTATTAATCACTTTTTCAGGGAATATGTATAAATGGAAATAAAAGTACTTGAGAGGAAAATGGAGGAAAGCACAGACTTATCTACACCATAAGATGCATTATTGTTGTGCTTTTAAGCATTTGCTGGAAGGCACCTTGAATTTATTTGCTAACAGTTTGCATGATCCCTTTTTCCCCTGCACTTCCGCATGCATGACAGCGCCCAGTGGGTGCAGCAAGGCAGTAAAAGAAGGATTTGGCAGACCATGTTTAAGTGTCACTTTGACTGTGTTTGTTAGATAGGGGTGGGAGTTTCCTGCCTCTCTCCTTCTTGGGAGGAAAGCCCAGGGCAGAAAGCCAAGGCCATGAATGCACAAGTGGTCCCTGGAGCTGGTGGGGCTGAGGTTACTCTTGGCTAGGTAAAGGGCAGGCTGAAGGTCTGGTGTGCAGTGCATGCCTCCTTTCCCAGGTGACAGGTGATAAACTTTTGGCTGGTCAGCCCCAAGCAGGACTCTGGCACCTACACAGCTCCTTCCCTTATTGTGGCTTTTTCTGATGAATATGATCTCCACATCAGGACCACTGCTAGCAGCACCTGGGGATGGCTGCTGGTGGTTTTTTTCTCCTGTGCTGGGTAGGATGGGGGAAGTGTTCCCTCAGTCCTCCCCGTGTCTCAGCTCAGCTGTGAGATGCTGTGCTGCCAGGGGACATCTTGGGACATGCACACAGGGAAACCATCCCCATGCGGCAGGGGCAGAGGCAGTGAGTGTTGTTATCTGCTGTCTTTGGGATTTGCTTGAGAAATCAGTGGCAGGAGGGGAAACAAGAGGCAAAAAATTGCCTTCAAGATTTGAGCTGCTCAGTGCTGATTTATTTAGGACATGTTAAGTCAGAAAAATGGAGGTTAAACCGCTGGGGAGCTTCCATCAGAGGTTATAACCTACCCTTCCATTGGGGTGAGCAATGTTGGGTCATGAGACTGTCATAGAGAAGCAAAGCTCTCCTTTGAGGGGCTCTTGCAGTCATGTACATGCAGCAGGTGTGGAGCCATACAGCTTCCCCATCTTGCACATCATCTCTCTGGGTTCAGCTCTCTCTTCTCCCCTTCTCCCATCTGTCTTAAGAAACATCATCATTATTATTAAGTAGTAAAGGCCTTTTTTAATCTACAGTACAATTTATTCTGCTAAATAACATCAATACATTAAAAAAATACATTTTATCTGTCAAACACCATTGCAAAGTGTGTTGGATGTCCTTTTGCTAATACCTTGGTTAATGCTGGATTAACTTCATGATGCATCCTGTGTGGCTGTTCACTTCATGCCTGCTCAGGTGTTAAAGCAAGGACACCACATGTGGCAGACTCAAGGGACAGCAGAAGGGAAGGTCCATCATCCCCTGCATTGCCCTGGAGGAAGCTGTCAGCTTGGGATAAAACTGTCATAGAAAAGGCAAAGAGCACATGTCCAAGATGGAAATTAGCCATGGGCCAGCTTACTCCAGAAAGCCTCTGGAGCTGACCCAAGAGCAGCTGAACTGCTGAGGTTCTCCTGCTTCCCACCATTCTATGGGGATGGGGATGGGGCTGGGTACAGGAAGATCCACGCTTGCACCCTCTGGTAGTTCTGCTTGCGTGCAGGTGCAACTCAGTGAGATTTAGGCAGTTAATGAAGCAGCAGACTACAAAATGTGTAAGTTGGACTGATCTGTTTGTAACAAGGGGATTGACTTGTTGATTTTTACTTTAGTTGTTTTTTACCTTGTGAGCTCCTGAGGTAAAGCTTGATTCCCACAGGGCATTATCCTGTAAGTCTGGGTGACCTGGAGAAAGAGTGGCACCACTGAGAGCATGAAAAGGTAGCAAGCCACAGGAAGCAGAAGCTCAGCTACAAGATGTGTGATGTCTTTCTCACACAAGATGTGTGAAACATCTTGTGACAAACCATTGCTAGCGCTAGCATGCAATTGTAGAGGGATTTGAAACCACTTTTAGGTGTGACCAGCTGTGGCTAAGAGCTGCTGTGAAGCTGGTGGTACCTTTGGCCCTGGCTGGGAGCTCTTCACTGTGTGCTGGACTTTATGTTTCGGTGCCTGTGGCACAGGGGTTCAGGCCCCTTGCCCAGAGGGCACTGCACACTCCCAGCCATAGCATCAATTCCTCTCTGGTCAGTCACCCAAGACTCTCTCCACTGTGTGCAGTGTTCCTGGCATGGCAGACATGAGGGATGTGCAGACATGGGAGCAGCTCTCTGCTTGTACCAACTCCAATGGCTTCAGTGTTGGTGAGATGTGCAACTGACCCTCAGCTATATTTCTAAGGGCTGTGAAAATTTCCCCTTGCACTTTCTCAGCTCCATTCTCCTGCAGCTTTTACCATTGCAGGAACTTCCCTTCTGCCTGAGCCATTTCAAGCTGTGGGAAGAGAGCGAGGTTTGTGGGTAACATGTTCTTCCATTGAAGCTGTGGAGATGTCTAGCAAAAAGGTGAAGTTTCTGATTCAGAAGATACCTTCTCCATTTCTGAAACAGACCTGTCTCTGGAAAGGACTGGTGGGATCAGAGCTTTGGAGAGAGGCCCCCAGGCACCCTCCTGTGCCAGACAGCCCCCCTGACCTGCACACCAATGGGATTCATGGACCCTCTGTGAATGAACACACCTCTTACCACTGAAGACACCTTAGCTTGTGTAAATAGTACAAGGCAGCGTGCTGGGGAAAGAGGCTTTGTTCATTTGTGGTCCTGTTTGAAGCTGCAGGTTGGACTTCTTTTAAGTGGTACAGAGAACAAGCACAAACTTTTACGTGTGAGAGGGCCAAACTGGAACACATAAGTTTCTGCTTGTAGCTGCTCCATAAAATACAGTGGTAGACTGTGTAATCCATACTTTGTCCTTTGCAGAGAAAGCAAAAAGGTATTAAGGAAGATTTTTTCATCTGTGCTCCTGAATCTTCATCAGTATTGCATTTACTGTAGTACATGTTAAATTGGTGAATATTGATTTCAGTGGAATTTTTCCATTGTCTTCTTAGAAATAAAAATGGAATGGCTTGGTTTGGAAGGGACTTTAAATATCATCTAGTTTCAAAACCCATGCTGTGGGCAGGGATGCTTTCCACTAGAGCACGTTACTCAAAGCCCCATCCAACCTGGCCTTGAACACTTCCAGGGATGGGGCATCCACAGCTTTGCTGGGCAACCTATTCCAATGCCTCACCACCCTAACAATGAAGAATTTCTTCATAATACAGACTAAACCTACCCTCCTCCAGTTCAAAGCAACTCCCCCTTGCCCTGTCACTACATGTCCTTGTGAAAAGTCCCTCTCCTGCTCTCTTGTAGCTCCCTTTAGGTAGTGGGAGGTGCTCTGAGGTCTCTCTGGAGCTTTTCCTTCTTACCACCTAGAAAACCTGACTGCATTTCAACTTCCTGTTTCCCTCCTCCCCAGCAGACTCCTGACCATGAGCCTCATCCAGCCAGCTGCTGGGATGTCAGGCATCTCCTCCTCCAGGGAGAATCTGCTGATTCACAACTTTTTGCAAACCTCAGTTTTCATAGCCTATTGCAATGTTCTCACAAAGAACACCAACTGTGTATGAGCCAGCCAGGGAGTGGCCAGGCAGCCCCATTGTAAAAAGCAGGGACAGACACAGTTAAACTTTGGAGCTGCTGGAAGCCAAGGGAAGCATTTCAAGGCACATCTCTCTGTTTTCTCAGCAGCACTACTGGTAAAAGCCTTCCCGTAAAGCACCCGAAGTCCCAGCCTGCTGACAAAGCTGCCATACTGAAGTTTAGCCCAAACTTCTCCTTTCCCTATTCTTCATGAGGACGAGAGAGAAGGGAATCTCAGCATCAGCACTTCCCATGGGATGCATTGAGCTTGACTTGCTCCCGAGAAACACCACCCAGACCCTCTCTGGGATCTCTGCATGCTGTGTGCATCCTGCTGGGAAATAAAAAGTGCTGTCCTAGTGCCACAGATTCTCCACAAAATTTGGAAGTGCATCCAAAACTGTCTTGCATGGGGCATGAGTGGTTACGTATTTGGGGCATGTTAGTGTAGAAACTATAATATTAGTGTCTTATGAAGTGAAATTTATGTGTGTGTGGTAATTGCTCAGTTAATTTTATTGTAGTGGCTGGGCTACATGGCCTGTGACAAGCACTTAAGGAATCAGCCTAATTATTATGGAAAGCCTCCCCATGTAGGATGTGTTTTCTAAGAAATGAAAACCTATATGTCTGTTCTGATAAAAGTACATTATTCAGAACTGCTCTTCCCTGAGTAGCAACATCATGTGGGCAAAGTTAAGGGAATAAGACAATAAGCATGCATACATTTTTTTAAAAAAAGAAATAACTAATCTTGGGAAAAGGAAAAATAAATTACTGTGTTCTGCATTTTTAAAGTCTGTGGCTGTAAGGACAGGGCACAGCTCCTGACCTCCCCCTTCAAGTTACCTCCCACTTGTATGTTTTTTACTACTGGCTGCCAACAACATCTGAGGGAGTTAGTTTAGTTTCATCTTTGCCAGAGCCTCTTTGTGCAGGGAGAGGAGGCAAGGCTGCTCACCAGGTTAGTTCTCTAAAAGCATGGAAATATTACTAACTTGTTAGCCTGGGAAGAGTGTGATAATAGTGTCAAGGTAGGGTTTTTTTTTTCTTTTTTTCTGCTTAGCACAAAACATAAATCAAACTATATGGCAAATCCTACTGGGGGGGGGGGGGGGATGGGATTTAGAAAGCTGTGTGCAAAAGCTGGATTATGGAGAGTTTACCTTTGTTTACTGCTTTCTGATGCTAACACAATTGTATAAATGGGTTGAAGGAATCTGACTGGTACTCAGTACTCTCTGTTTAAACTGAGCTGCCCTGCCAGCAGTTTGGATATTGATGGCTTTTGCTACCTGCTCTCTCTGTGTGCCTGCTTGTCCCTTCAATGGGGTGTGCTGTTGGTGGCAAAAGCAGCTATGCTTCAAACTCTTCATTATTGTTTGCAGCTAGGAGAGGAGAAAATAGGTGAATAATACTTGTGTGGTGGCACTGCTGTTGCCAGGCAGAGGGAAGCTGTGGGTTGGCAGAGGTGTTGCACTTCCCTCTGGGCACACACCTGATACTACCCCCAGCTGCACTCCCGCAGGGCTTGCAGGCTGGTGTGTGCTGCCAGCTGAAGCCATGAGTGGGATTTCTGGAGAAAGAAAGTGCTTATGGAGAAAGAAAGTGCTCCCCCTCCCCCAGCATCACTCCTTCATTTCAGTTTCTATTCTGGCTTCTGAGCTCAGAAGCAATAGGATGAGGAGGAGGAAGAGGAAGAGGAGGAAGAGGCTGACCACCCAGTAGGGTGGGTCTGCCTTTGTCAAACTGCTGTTTCTAAGACATAAAATAAATCCACTCAATTTACAGAAAGGAAGGCACAACAAATGTGAGCAGGCAGTCTATCTTATCTCAGAGAACCTCACCCAAGCCCAAACTTTCTTAGACTTGTTACCTAGAAAAGCTTTGTGCTTTTTTACTTGGCTTGGGAATTAGAAGCAGAAAGAAATTGCTCTTGTTTCTATTCTATTCTATTATCATTATAATCATCATCATTATTATTATTTTAGACCTGAGGTTTACTGATTTTCAAGGTTTACTTGCTTGCTTAACCACATAAAGGCAAGGAGAATGTTTCAGACTTTGGACATTGATTTTCTCTCTTTGTGGCTCCCTACATCAGGAAACTGGAGATACGAGTTTTCTATACTACTCTTTTGTGTGTACCTGGCTTTGTTAAGAGGAAATGAGCCCACAGCTGCTTCCCACATACCCTGTGCCCATGCTGTGTAAAATACACCAAGTCCAACAACTGGAATGCCCAAGTCACTCCCTTTAGCTTGGGTTCACTGCCCAGTTCAGCACAAGGGGAATGAGTCATGCCTAAGCACTAGCAAAGCCTTTATGGAGTGGAGTGGGGAACATGAGTGATGTTATTTTGAAGACTGGATAAAATGGCAGATAATGCAAAAACCTTGAACAGATAGAAATGCAGGCAAGATATGGTTATGCTCTATCCCCTCCAGTGGCAGCTAGGGAGCTGGGCAGAAGGAGGCCTGCTGAAGGGTGGTAGCCACCAGTTTGGTTGGAGGTTCAGACCAAGCACGGGTTTTTCACCGACTCTCCTGTTTCCTGTCTCTTTCAGAAGAGGGCCTGGGAATGGCTGCCCCAACCGTAGTGACGATCCAGCCCCAATTCGGCGCGGCCATGTCCTCTGTCTCCAGGTGCACGTGGCAGACAGGCCTGATGGACTGCTGCTCCGACTGTGGCGTCTGTGAGTGCCTTGGACACGCTTTCCTTGCCCTGCTGCCTCTGTGGTGGTGCCACAGCGCAGCCCGGCAGCCTGGCTCTCCCAGCTGCTCTGGCAGCTCCAGGCCGGCAGGCAGAGCCTCAGCCAGGGCTGTGTTTCTTCCCCTGCCAGGCTGCTGCGGGATGTTCTGCTTCCCCTGCCTGGCATGCCAGGTGGCTGGGGACATGAACGAGTGCTGCCTGTGTGGGACCAGCGTGGCCATGAGGACCCTGTACCGCACCCGATACAACATCCCGGTGAGTGCTGAGCCTGCCCCTCACCCACTGCGGGCCTGAAGGACAGGGCGCCCCAAGGCCCCTCTCTCTGCGCTTGAGGGAGGAATTGCCACTCCCCCTTCTTTTCCCATTCGTATCCATCTCAGCGCTGCTTCTGTCTTGGAGCTTTGATTGAGATAACTGTGGGCTGAATAAAGAATAGGTGAAGCTGGTTACACAGATAAAGATCCATGATCAGGTCTGGGAGAAAGGTGGACAGTGCCTATGTGAGGGTGTTTCTTCCTGCGGGGGAGGTGGTTGCTGCCATCCCAAGGGCAAACCATAGGGTGCCAAGTTCACTTTCCCCACATTGTCTCTTCCTGTGAACGTTTTTTCTTCCCAGTCTGAACGTCAGAAGTCAAAAGATAAGCTGCTATCTGCAGCCTGCACAAAGGGCTCCTTCCTTCCTTTCCGTGGTTCCTGGGGTTTGCCAGCCCAAGGCTTCAGTGTTTTCTACTCAGGATGCTGCAGCCTGCTGAGAAGAAAAGAGTACTTGACCTGGAATGCGATTAACATTTTCTTGGCTGGAACGTGATCTCTGGGAAGCCTCTGTCCCTAACCTGTGTCTCCCTCACAGGGGTCCATTTGCTCTGACTACTGTGTCACCCTGTGGTGCACTGTTTGCTCTGTTTGCCAAATGAAAAGAGACATCAACCGCAGGAGGGAGCTTGGCATATTCTGGTAAGCCAGGGATGGTGGTGCTGGTCCATAAAGCTGCTGTCACACACACGCAGGTCACTTCCCAGAGCCTCTCCTGCCAACATCTTGACACCAGACCAAGTTTGCTGCAGTGGGGAAATGGCCATGGACAGTTGGCCAGAGTGACATGTCCTGAAGCAAAATGTCACTGGGGACCTTGTGCAGGGTGGAGGGAGGAGGAGGGGTGATACACAGAGTGTGGTGAGGCACATCTCAGTCCTGACACTCCTCTCCCATCCTGTTGCAGAGGCTGCCATCCTCGCTGCATCCTTGGAGCTGCTGCAAGCAGGAATCACCACTGCTCTGACTGTTGGGAAATGCACCATGTGGAGCTTGCCTTGACTGCATTTGATTTTCCCTACTTAACTGCAGAAATAAAGTTTTGAATTTGTCTTCCTACCTCTGTGTGTGTCACTCTTGCACCACCTGAGAGCACCAATCCTTCTCCTGCTCCATCCATCTCAGCAGCCCTTGGTGTAGCTGAGATTTCCCTGTGCCTGCTGCAGAGAGAGATTTTCACTAGTATTTTGTTATTGGATCAGCTATTAGAAAGGATATTTAGTACATTGAAGGAGTCAGTGTTGCTCATCCAAGTTTTAAAATTTGGGAAAATGACTACTGCTGCAGGGCAGAGCCAGGTCTTCCTGCAGTCAAGTGACTCCTGCTGTTGGTGAGTGACACTTTCTGAATAGAGAGGCATGGGGTACCTGGCACCAGCTCACCTTGATGTTGAAGAGATATGGACCCTGAGCATGAATTCTTCCACACCTGCAATAAAAAATCTGTCTGGGTTGTAGGTTATCTGTGTCCTCTCTAGGTACAAATAGTGCCAATCTTCCTGCATGGCATTACACTGCCCATCTGTCTGCACTGGGCTGTGAGCCCTGCATTCCCACCCTGAAGGTGGAGGTTGCATCCACCCTCTCTCCATCAATCTCAAGAGAAATGCTAAAGGACTTTTGATCCCTGAAAATATCTCCCAGCTTCATTCTTTAAGGAGAATATGATTTTTTTTTTGTCCCCACTCTACCTTCCCCTTTACCACAAAGCTTTTTATGGGTAAGTAGCGGCTCTGTCCATGCTGAGGGGTGGATGTGTGTGATGGCACTCCCAACTGCTTAAACCCAGATGGCTCAGAGGGATGACCCCTGGCAATGCAGAAAAATGCATTTTTAGCCTGAGGAAGGCCGCCCCTGTGTCAGCCAGTGCAGTTACAGACAGTTCTTGCAGATGCTCGGGTTTGACAAAGGAATGGTGCTGCCCCTCCAACAGCACATGGCTTAGGGCAGCACAGGAGCCTGGGAACAAACTGCCCTCCTTGGAAAACCTCTCCCACCAGGGCTCTGGGCCTGGAGAACAACTGGGTGGGGAGAGGTGAGGGCTGGCAGCAGGAATGCAGCAGGGAAGCTGCCATTGTGCAGAGCTGCACCTAAGCTACCTTTTGCTCTGTTAGTCAGAGGGAGCAGAGGTCACTTGCCAGAGCACATATAAAGCATGAGAACCAGGAAAAGGACACGTCTCTGCTGGGACAAGGACACCTTGGAAAGTACGTGCGGCATGGCTTTGCTTTGGTCTGGTACGGAAACTGCTTGTGGCTGAAGTGGTGATGCTGGGCAAGGGGAAAGGGTGGAAGCAAAGGTGAGGTTTTCTACCTGGAAAGCTGCTTCAGGGTTAACTACAGTGTAGTGGGTGCTGCTGAAGGCATCTTCACAGATGTGGGGAGCAGAGGTGGAGGACAGCAGTTTTTGTGCTGTGTTGCTCACATAGTGCACTGTATTTGTGCACACACAGTGTCCATAGATGCAGCTTTATGACCTTGGCTGTTGGTGAAATGAAGCTGCATGCACCTCAGGATGCTTTTGCCCCCATCAGTCATTCCAGCATGGCTGGTGATGCCATGGGGGTGTGAATTGTGAAATTGTGATACATTTTTTTGTGCTGGGCCTGGCCTATCTCTCAGTAGCTGAGTGTATGGCAGAGGTTTCTCCTTGCTGCTGCCTGCTCTGCACTGCAGCCACCACCTGTGCAGGGATGTGGTGTGCTCGTATCTGGGGAGGGGAAGAAGCCTGACTGGAGGAATCCTGTCCCTAAAATTTCTCTTGCTGCTGCTGCTGCTCCTGTGCACAATTCTCCCTGTGGTCCCTGTGGTCCTGCCTGCTGCTGAACATCCCTGAACATCCCAGCCCCATGGTGGGCTCACCCCTGCACAGCCTGTCCAGGGTCTGTCTCCTCCCCTGCCCCTCCTGGTTCTTCTTAAATCATTGTGTGTAAGGCTTCCTGAAGGGGCTGCTGATTTGGTGTGCTGGGAGGTGTTACATTGGCTGCAGCGGGGATGGGAATCACCTGAGATCTCACAGATGAACAAACAGGGACAGCTGGCCAAGGCAGGGCCAGGAGGTGTCCGGAAAGGGATGATGGATGCAGTGTCCCCTGCTGCACTCACAGGTGTCTCAGGTGGGGACAGCCTAGCCATGCTTCCACTGCCTGCAGAAAGCTGCAAAAACTCAGGAGCAAACCATGTGGAGATTTTTACCAGCTTTCTTCCCTCTTACACCATAATTCAGCAACCCTTTTCCTCTTCCTGGGACTGCCAGGAACAGGGGCTCATCCTACAGCAACAGGCTGTTTCTGACAGCTGGGGTGTGTCTGTTTTGCTGGGGAGTCACAGGAGCTTCCAGCAGAGCCAGCAACCCTTTGCCACCTGTTGCCATTAGTCAGTGCAAATGCAGTGCCACAGCCAGTGCCACTCTGACTTGAGTAATGAGCTCAATGGCACAGTCTGAGTGCTGGGCATAGGAATTTTTCCACCCCATTTCTTGTGTCATTTAATACTTAACTTTGTGTAACTGTGCAATTCTGGTGTGAAAACAATCCTCTTAGAGTCTTAACAAAGTGGTGCTGAGCTTGGGCAAAGGGCAGGGAGTGTGTCTGCACGGGAGTTCTGTGGGAGAATCCTCAAACTTTTTTTTTTGTTTGTTTTAATTAAAGCTCCAAAACCAAAACTGAGAGTGGCAGAAGCTGGTCCTGTGCCTTGCAGGGGTGGCAGAGAGGGAAGGGGCCACTGATGGAGGTGCAGGTGGAGTTGTTACTTTGGTCAAGTGATTTTGGGGATGGTACTGTGAAGTAGGAGCTTTTCTGCTCTCAGAAGACACAGCCCGTTGCTGAGGAAGGATGGGATGGAGAAGAACTCCACAGGCCATGGTGACCCCACAAGACTGAGGAGGAGGAGGATGACGTGTTGGCACAGACAGTTCAGCGGAGGAGGAATAGGAACTGGTGGCAGGGCTCCTGAGAGCTTGGGGAGACCAGAACTGAGCAGTAGTAACTTTGGGAGACTGTGATCATAAACAAAACAAAACAAACCCCCCAAAACCTGCCCAAAATGCAGACAATTTTACACAGACAATTTTACACAGATATTTTTATGTGATTTTATGCAGACAATGATGAAAGATGACCTGGAGATGAAAAGACTAGTTTGAGGTGTTGAAGCGCTGCAGTTCTGAAGCAGAGGGACCTTTGTTTTTACAGACGTTTTACTTGCATAGGATGATGTGCTGCTGCCTTTGGTGGAAGACTGGTTTTAGAGAGGGCTTTCCTTCAGAGGGTAGTGGCAGCTTCTGGCAGAGCTGTGCCCCCCCCTTTGTGGTGAGAGGGGCATTACCCTGGCAGTGGGGACTCCCCAAGGAGCTCTCTCTGAATGCAGCAGCCTGAGCAAGACGCCACTTCAGAAGCACCTGCAGCATCTTCCTCTGATGGCTTTTCTTTCCAGACCACCAACTGCCTGGAGGGACCTGAACCCTTGCTGGCAATGGCCTCTCAAACTGTGATTACAGTCCAACCCCAGTTTTCAGCTGCCCAACAGCCTGTTGGGGAGTGGCAAACAGGGCTGCTGGACTGCTGCTCCGATTGCGGTGTATGTGAGTACATACGGAGCCCTCATCCCTGCTGATGCTTGTGATGTGTTTCCTGCTCCTCCTGCAGCATTACCCTGCCACAAACCCCACTCCCATGGGTCCTGCAGGCAGAGCAGCTCTTGCCTGATGTCAGGAGCCACAGCTCTCAGCTGGCTTTTCCCCCTCTGTATTTGCACCCATCGGCCAAGTCCACGTCTCGCTGTCCCACAGGTCTCTGTGGGATGTTCTGCTTCTTCTGCCTGAACTGCCAGGTGGCTGGGGACATGGACGAGTGCTGCCTGTGTGGCTCTAGTGTGGCCATGAGGACCCTGTACCGCACCAGATACAACATCCCAGTGAGTGCCCAGCTCGGGGGCCTGCCCCCACAGCGACAGCAGCCACAGGATGGGTGCTGAGCTGGGGGCTCAAGGAAGGAGAAAGGGGTGCCCAAGGGGAAGGGCAGAGATGAGGAGTTGCATGAGCATCCCAGCTGGCCAGGAGTTAGGGACATATCTGCCTCAGCACTGTGAGCTGGAGGCAACCCCAGCACATGCTGCTTCATCCCAATCCTTGCTGGATATGAGCAGCAGGATGCTGCAGGGCCCAAGTGAGCTCCCATGGGGTGCTGACAATGTAAAATAGGAAGGCTGAAAGGTTTAACGCTTGGTGTGGGAAGGGGTTTTCCATGAATGTCCCTTGCTCCACAGGGCTCCATCCTGCGAGACTTTTGCTCCATCTGGTGTTGCGCCCCGTGTGCGCTCTGCCAGCTAAAGAGAGACATCAACCGCAGGAGGGCAATGGGCATATTCTGGTAACTGGGGGGGCTGGCACTGCTCTGTCACTGCTGCACAGCACCAGTGCCTTCCTGGGGTCTCCCTTTCCTCTGGCACCTGACTCCAGACACAGGGCTGCAGCAGTGCCAGAGCAGTAATGGCTGAGTAAAGGGTGGTCCTGCTCTCCTATCCCGTTGCAGATGCTGCTGTCTTCAGTGCACCCTGTGGAATCGCTGCAGGCAGGAGCTGCTGCTGCCCTGCATGTTGGGATGTGCACCATGAGGAATTTGCCTTCACTGTGCTCGGTCCCCTTTTCTCTTGGTAAAGCCAGCAATAAAAGCATTGTCTGTCTTCCTGCCTGTGTGTTGTTATTTATGTGCCTGTGTCTTTCTGCAGCATCAGAATTGGTGCTGTACTTTTCTAGGCTCTGTGGCCAGAGGCATGATGAGGTTGTCAGGTAAATGAGGCTTTCTCTTGCCCACCCACACTGGAATGAGGCCAGACCACAAAATTCAATGAGGGAAGATAAAACAAATGCCAAATCTGCTATGGGAACAACTTCTCTGTGGACACCACCAATGTGCAGAGCTGGTGACAGCATTGCCCTCTGCTCAGAGAGGCCCCAGAGCACTGAACCCATCCCCATGAATGCCTGGACTGTCGCCAGCACCAAGACACTAGTGGAAAGTGATGGTGATACTGTGGGATTCCCAGTCACTCTGCTTTCCCC